TTAATTCATTAATTGTTCCACTGTTCTACTGATTAATTAATTAATTGTTCCACTGATTAATTGTCCTCCCTGTTAGGAAGTTTCTCCTTCGCTCTCGGTTGCTTCTGTCCTTGATTAGTTTTCCATCCATTCTTTCTTGTCCTGCCCTCAGGCGCTTTGGAAAATAGGTTGGCCTTCTCTTTTTTTTGTGGCAGCCCCTTAGATATTGGAAAACTGCTCTCATGACACTCCAGTCTTTCTTTTCCTTCCTTCCTTCCTTCTTTTCTTTTCACTACTTTGCCTGCAGAAGTGCTTACGTCTTCAATCTCCATGTAAATCGGGCAAAATTTCAGCCCGAAACGTCGGAGAATCGGTAGAATTGCTTGTTGCATTCTGTTGCTCTGGCAGCATGAAACCCAGACCATCTTCTTCTTCCTTCGAATGTAGGCATGGAAATTTGTAGCAAGAATTAATTTCCTCACATGCCAATTAATCACAGCTAATGAACCTGGCTGTTAGGGGCAATTTATTAATGGGATCCGTAGGGACCAGTTCACCATTTTGTTATCTCAACAGCAGCACGGAGCAAACGATCAAGTTTCCCATTGATTAGCTCAGTGTTTCTCAACTGTGACAATTTTAAGCTGTATGGACTTCAACTCCCAGAATTCCCTAGCAAGCTCTGTTCCTCCCCAGCTCTGCTGACTGGGGAATTCTGGGACTTGAAGTCCCTACAGCTTAAAATTGTCACAGTTGAGAAACACTGGACTACCTATCTAATCATAAGAAAGCAGCTGGGCTAATGGATCGATATTTTGTGCCATTTATCTGCAGGTCACAAAGATGGAGAGTCTTTTCCAAAATGTGTTAATATGACATTTAAGAGCTTTCCAAACACCTCTCTTTTCCCCTTTGTGAAAGATTCAGATTAAAAACAACAAAGTCAATCTTTCACCCTGTCTGACATGGCCTTCTGAGGACTTCTGAGTCAAGGAAATATTTCAGGTACCTCACCTGGGGTCCATTTAAGCATTCATTTAGCTAATTTTGGACCCATTGGCAAAAACATTATTTCTTTGTCAATGAAAGCACAAAGGTATTTGAGAGTTGCTCTAAATCCCTACAATTATTTTTTTTTTAAGACAGAAAACAGATAATTAGAAAACAGAGCTTCCTGTTTAGCTATTTTGTTTTCAAACCATCTAGAGATCAGGTGCAAAAATCAGTGTGTTTTGGCATTCAGGCAAATCTTCTTTAAAGCTATTGCTCTACCACCTTGGGAGAAAGGAGAAAAAGAGGGAGAAATCTCATGTAGAGCTCTTTTATTCTGGTGTAATTTGCTTGAATTCAATTACTTGTTGTCTCTCATGATAGAAGTGTGAAAATACGTCACACGCATGTTGCATCAGCAAAACAGCCAGGCATAATAGAAAAATCAATGCAGCTGACTGATTCGGTAAAAAGCTATTTATTCCAAGATAATGAGCAAAAGAAGATACAATAACTTATTGCTACCCTAACGTTCACATATCTCCATAAGCATTAATATTGCAGAGAGAACAATGGGGAAATTGAAGCTAGCAGTTTCAATTGTGCTGTGTTTTGTGTGCGAAGACCAGAAATTGGGGAAAAAAAATACTGAGATAATGAAAATGTGGCAATAAATAATTTTTCATATTACATTATTGGAGTATCAGTTTAAATCTCTACCAAAATGAAATGGAAAGGTGTTGTTGTTATTGTTGATGATGATGCTATTGGGGTGGACCATAACAAAATAATTAATAGGTTACAAGACTAAAAGACAAATGACTTTATGCAGGGGTGATATTTTAGTTCTGGTGGTCTACAAGAAGAGGCTTCCTAACTCCTGCCTGAGATCCCTTACTTCCAAGATCCCTCCTGCTTCCAAGATCCCTTCCAACTCTGTTATTCCTGTAGGATGGGACAATCACAGTGCTGTTAATCAGGATTTGGATAACTCTGATAATTCGGTGTAATGATGGTTTTTATGTTAAAATTACAAGAATAAAAGGCAAACCCTGAAGACCTCCAGGCTGGTGAGGAGTTTGTGAAGGCCTTCAGGATGAAATCACAAGCATTCAGCCTAGCAAGTGTCCATCACCACAGGATGTGCGAACAAATATTTTTGTAACCTCATACCTGATCTACTATGATCTGGGTTTCCTGCTTGTAACTAAGTGAAACTTACATATACCTGTTCTAAAATGCACTCGTGTTTCTTCCATGTTTATGGAAGATCCCACTTTTGTCCAACACTAAGTGTGCTATCTAGAGAGAGGATCTGGATTTGCTTGTGCCTAGCCACACCTGGCCTCCTGATGCCTCATCTGGGTTTCCACCTGTCATATCATAGGGTGGAAGTAGCATAATATTCCAGAAGCAAGGAAGCAATCATTGTACCCCTTATAAAATGCATCCCGGAAGATTCTCAAGGTTACCATGGACAGGGTAGACCTAGAATGCTGAGAAGAGTCTTTCTTAGTCTAAGAGGCCCCAACTTTGCATTGTTGCAGCAGATTCTGTTTGCAAATCAGGACACAAGACCATGAAGGATAAGAGAATACAGGTTTATTTGCACAAAAGGTTCAGAGCATTAGCATGGCAGATTCTGAACCCCAAGCTCTTCCTGAGGCGTTATTTTTATACCGCTCACAGTCTCAACCTAGCCTGGGGCGTTTCCCTATCAAGTTATACCATAACCTAGGTACGACAGAAAGGAGAAGTACGTCTAATTAGTCATTTGTTCTTATCTTACACCATCTGGTACTTTCTATACCCACCCTTGTTTCACGGAACATGTTTAGTTCTTTGGTTCAGTAACTTCGTGGTTTTGCACAATATTGTATTAAGCAAAGCTTGAGAGCCTGAGAACTTCTGCTAATTGTAAGAATACTTTTTCTGGGAATTTGCCATTCTGCTTCAGTATAGTGAAATTGATACTCTCAAGCCTATCACTTTTCCTTCTTCCTTCAATCCAGTTTGCTTTCTTCTGTGTTTCTGAGCTCTTTAATTCAGGTAAAGGTCTGTCTGGTTCTCTGCCCATTATGGAGGAGAACATAATATAAGCTTTTAGCTCTAGATATGCTGATGTAACTCAGCTTTCTTATCATCCTCATGTTTGCTACATAAAATTTATACTTATTTACCTGACTCATCAGAACAGGGAGGCAGGGAATGCTACAGGTCCACTCTCCTAAGGAAGTCCATCTCATGTGACCAAGAAAAAAGGTCTTCTCCATGACTTGACTATTTCTTCGTGCATCATCAGATCAAATGACTGAAAAATTATTCTAATGATTCCTTTTCAATACAGGAATGTACGGGAAGAAGAAGAAACCGTTATGACACACAATGCTCAACTCGTAATTTTTCCACTTCAAATATCAGAGACGTAGAACCACTATTTGAATTAGATGAGACTAATTACAGGTTGAATGTACAAGGAAGTAAAATTAGATTCACTTCCATGGGGTTACCTAAGAACGGATGGAAATTTATTTTTAGTACTATCAGCTACGGATGCTGACCTACAGCTGCTGTGGTGGAAGCTCCTCACATGGGTAAATTAGATCAGACATTTGAGTATAAAACTCTTATGTTTAAAACAACGCTCTCTTTTTCTTTATTTCCTGCTAACAATCTCGTTTCTGCTTCCCGGTGTTCAGGTTTGGCCTATCTTTTATTTTGTAGTTTTGCAATTTATTTTGTAGTTCAGAATGTTCCCCTTCAGGATAATTACGCTTGAAGGAGAAAAGGAGGAAAAAATACTTATTCTAAGCAAATCTGCACTTCATTAGCATCAAGTTGTGTTCCTCTTTTCCCGCTCCTGGCCAGCAAATATGACAATTCCATTGCAGTGTGCCTAAAGAGGATCTCAGCAGGAGTGTGTTTCGATTCCTCGTTTTCACCACCATCCTTCCTTTATCCCACTTTCTCATGTGCTAACGTGGCCTGGGATTCCTAATGTCCCAAATGCTAATGTCAGATCTGCCATCTTCAGTTTTTGCATTTTGCTGGCATCCTGACATAAAATGCAGGGGAGAGGAAGGGGCTGAAGGAATGTAGAGCAGCAAGGATGCACATGAGAATGGGAAGACAACTGGAAGAAAGAGGGATGCAGTCCTGACAGAAATCAGAGGTGCCAGGACTCGATCAAACCAGCCTTTAAGGACACCTGGCCTGGGAAGAGAAAGTGGGATTCCATCGACTGGCACCAACATCCAAACAGTTCCCAAAACATCTGGATGAGGATGAACTGGTCAAGGGGGGGCATGGAAAGGGGAGAAGTATAATCTTTTCTGCAGGAATATTCAGATCTACCTTTTTTTCATTGCAACCAATTAACCAGGGGTGGGACTCTACCAGTTCACACCTATTCACTAGAACCAGTTAACATTCTAAGCAGTTCGGAGAAGTGGTTGTTAGAAGAAATTACTGGCCTAATCCTGTAAGAAAGGCAGGAAGGAAACATTCTGGTGTTGCTTATAGAAACTGCCTCTCCGTTAACCCTTATTACATTCTTGGCAGGACTAGACTTCCTGTCTCAGGAACCTCTCTGGAGTTTTTTCCCCCTCCTTTGCTGGTACATTGCCTGTGTGTAGTGACCAAAGTTACAATGGCACTGAAAAAAGTGACTTATGACCATTTTTCACACTTACAACTGTTGCAGAATCCCCACAGTCATGAGAAGCCAGGTGAGGAGATGCGTGCCTCGATATGAGTGATATTGAGTTGGCCACACCCAGCCAATAACATGACCAAGCCATGCCCACCAACTAAGCCATGCCCACAGAACCAGTTGTTAAAAAATTTGAATCCCAAGCCTGCACTTAACCGTAGTAAAAGAACCTATCAGTTCAACCAAATGGAGTTGGTGGTCTCTCTTTCCTAGGGATCTGAATTGTGGCAGGCCTGACAGCTGATGTCAAGTCTCCTTTTCTTCTCTTTGGTGGGATAACGTTACTCAGATTTCTTTTATGTTTTTTCTACTTATACAGCTGCAGGTAGAGGTCACTGATGTCTCTGGGAAGGCAATAGAAGGTCCGGTCCCTTTTGAAATTATCATAATAGATCAGAATGACAACAGGCCCATCTTTCGGGAAGGACCATACATTGGACATATCATGGAAGGATCTCCAACAGGTGAGTAATCCGTATACTTCTGGAATCTCATTTTGTACGCCATGATGATTTGGTTGAGTATGATGGAGAGCTGGAAGATCCAAGTTGGACAAGATCTTAATGGAGTTTGATATTCAGTGAATACATTCAGTTGAAAGTTTGTAATTCAGTTGGATTGGAAGAATCAGTTTGGCTTGGTGATTTGAAGATGGGAAGGAAAGGAGATTTCGAATGCTCCCTGCCAGATTCCCACAAGGAAAGTCAATGGGGAAGCTGGAAGAAATCAGAAATTACTCCTCCTCCCGTTACATTTTTGCCTGCCTGTTTTTCTGTTGAGGTAAGGAAATCTCTCTGAAACAGACCCAACAGGATACAAGTTCTCCAATGAATTTTAGAAAGGTGTTCACAATGGGAAATGTGTTTTATTTCAAGCTTGCAAGCAAAGAACCTTTTGTTGAAAGTCCCAAGTTGGATCCTATTGGAAGAGACAATGCTGTTCATGGTTGGTCTCAAAATTTAACCATTGAAGCTTTATGTTGAGATTGGAATATCCCATTAACATTTTGAGGTTTGAACTGTATTGATATGTTTTAATAATAAGAACATTCCGTAGTAATGACCTCATTAGTCTGCAACAACACATTCAATTTTTTGTAAGATAGCTCCTTTATTTCTATGCTGTGTCATGTTTTATCCACAGGAGTTCTGGTTTTAACGTTAGAGCTTCCCATCCCTGCTGTTCCTCCTTCTATTGTTGTCTTTTCGACTGGCCTTTCAGAGTCCGTAAGCAAGGAAATGGGCAAGAATTAACAAAGCCTTATTTTATTTTATTTTCTGATGAATACCAAAGATTGGGTTGATGGTACAAGAGCAGGAAAGTCATCGGAAGCATTTGGGAAGTTAACTTCGGAAAGGTGTAGTTGCAGGGTGAAGTAGCACCACTTGTGACAGCTCCTTTGCAAAGCCTTGGGTTTCTGCAGATGGCAATAAATCACAAATACAGAAAGTAATATCGGTAGATCATGCAAAACAACTGATTAACTGCCTCCCCCATTTTATCACATACCAAGTGGAAGGAAATTTTAGCAGGACAGATGGTCTGAGGCCTTCCTTCTCTTCTGAAATGGGTCTTTGTCCTTTTCAAACAGGTATTTGTTTTTCTTAATTAGGGAAGGATCTGCAAACATGAAAGTAAGACCAAACTTTTCCCTTAAGTAGAAACAGCTGAAATCCACCCCGCCCATCTACCCACTCATCCAGTCACCAGGAGACACTGAGTTCTAGTCCCGCCTCGGGCATGAAAGTCGTCTGGGTGACTTTG